GCTTTGAACCATGATCCTCAGATCTCAGCCTCCTGAGAAGCTAGGATGACAGGCGTGAGTCACTGGTACTTGGCTCATTACTCTGTAATTTTAAGATAATTTATGAACTTAAATATAAATTGGGTTCCTGACAGGTGCATCAAGTTCCACTTTGCAAGTCAAAACAAAAACAAACCAAAAACCCTACATGAAAGCATTTCTTTCTGTGCTCCACAGCATACTACCTTGCCTTGAGACCCAGACGATTGCCAACAGGGCTCGCTGCCATCGATCAGACGGGAAGCCTGGTTCACTGAGGAGGACACATTCAGGCTCTTGACCATGCGGGACCAGCTGTCCAGCAGCATTCCTGGCTGGCTGCTGTGACAACGCTTCAGCTGTTTTCCAGAACGACCACAGAACACGGCAGACTGTCCTATTTTATGTGATCACAGAGAGTTGTGAGCTGTTGGACTAGGGAGAATGGTCATGATCAAAATAAAGAAAATACAATGGTGAACTTCTAACAAAATATATACACCCTGAGTAATAACCAATACTTCATAGACAGTATGTGCCAGTACAAAAACAAACAACCAAAAATCTCTACAGCCATTGGATAGCATTGTTCCTTCTGTCTAACTGTGCTTGCTCCATGGAGCTGATCACCTGTGAACTTGACAAGCACAAACTCCAAATACACTGGTGGCCATAGTAATCAACTCACTAGTGATAATACTACAGAAGAGAATACAGTCCTTCTGTCCTACCTGGTTCGTTGATTCTGCCAAATGTATGCCTGGTGTTATGTTTTTTGGTCTTGAAACATGTTTCGCAAAAATCAAAGTCATCACAGTTTCTGCATTTGAATCGGGATCCATTGATAGGAAACATCTGACAGCCATCACACCTATTTTGAAAATCGTCATAGGGATGTTAGGGCAAAAGAAGAGAAAGCATTTATTAAGCTTGATCTGAAAAAAAAAAATCTTTCCTCCCCAAACAAATGTCACAATCACAGAACTGAAAACTCACGTAACACCAGGATGAATACTAGGTACCAACTCCATTTCTGACAAGAGGCCCGTCCAGTGAGATTGCTGAGGGAAGTCAACAATGATGTCTTTCCCATTGGCGCTGAAAGCTAGGACGGAGCAGAGATCAACCTGAGACATCATTACTGCCAACAGAAACCTCCAGTTTCAACCAATGTCATATTATAGTGTCATTATTACAAAGCGTATTTCTGCTTTAGAGGTACACGCTAAGATACTTTAGATGAAACAACACATGACATCAGGAAGTAACTTCAAAATAATAAAGACGATCACAGGATGGAACTATCATAGCAACGAAGTGATTACTATTGGAGCTGAGTAATAGGAACATGGAGGCTTACTGTACTATATTCTCTGCTCATATAACCTCATAATTTTTTTGTATTGTTTTACACCAAGTCAGAAGTTTTACTTAGTACTCTTTGGTATGTTAAGGAATAAAAGCCATACTAATAATTCTCTTCTCCTTTGAGAAGAGCAATCTGCTCCTCAAAACTATCTTTAAAATTTCACTCTGTTTTGATTTTTAAATCTTTGAGGAATCTCTTAAGCAGAGAAGCTCTAACAACATTTCCATCCACTGGAGAAACACCACCACCAATGAAGCATTAGAATCACTTAAAGATAAAATGAAACAGCAAGGCATGGTATTGCACGCCTGTGATCCCAGCATTAGGAAGATGAAGGAAGGATGATTGAGTTTATTATTTTCTTTTTCCATGCCATGTAGGCACAGGCTTGCCTTCAACACAAAAAACATTCCTACCTCAGTCTTGGGACTACAGGCATGTATCACCATACCTATCCAGTCACATTTCCATATCTTAAATCCAGTCCTAAAGTTTTTTTTAATCCAGCATTCAAAACAAAAAAGCAGACCTTGCCAGCTGGGAGCTGACAGAATAAATCAAGAAAACACCCAACATCAAATGATGCTACTCTGTGACTGGTGGATCACAGCAAAAACAAAATCTCTCCTTTATCATATGTGATCAAGGTCAAATTTAATAAGCCACAAAGACAGGCACATGTACACCCCTCTCCTGGCTATTCTGAATGACTCCTGGACCAGTTCTAACTGGCTTGGCTCCATTCTTTCTTCCATCTAGGTAAGATTTACTAGGACACATAGACTTAAGGGTTAGCCCAAGCTTGCTCAAGCTCTCCCCTACAACAACTCGGTATGAGTCCACTAATCCTTGCTCATGCCCCCCACTAATGGAGACTGCTACAAGCTTTGACTTTGTACAGCTGCAGCTGCAATACTGCATGGCCTTTAGCCAGAGGGCAACAGCAAACACTGACAAGCCAGAGATCTCTTCCTTGCTTCTTCTTGCCCTTAGATGGGAAGAAAGAAAGAAACAAAGAAAGTAAGAGAGAGAGAGAGAACGAAAGAAAAAGACAGAAGGAGGAGGAAAGGAAGGGAGGAGGAAAAAAGGAAGAAAAGGAAGAAGAAAAGAGAAAAAGAAAAAAAAACAGCCTTAATAAACAGCTAACAATTTAGGATTCTGAATATAATTACCTTTCACAATGCCTACACTCTGATGAGTCACGGACCCCCACTTGTATTTTGGGGTGGTCACCGAGGCTTTGACCCGTACTTTATCACCAATCTTGATGTGAGAGGAAGAACTTGGTGGAGGATAGCCTGCAGGTTTCAATAGCAATGACCTCTGGTGAGTATTCATTTCTAGGACTCTTGTCTCAAAGAAAAAGCGAAGCAGTTTCATAAAGAAGGTGCTCACCTACAAGTTCCACATGAATGTACCTCACCCAATAGGTGCCCCCTTTCTGCTGCCAGTCACACTGCACATTGAGGTCGTGCAATCCATCTCGATCTAGTTTGATGACTTTGCCTACATCGCCTTCACATACTTCTTCATAGGTTCGACAGCATCTAACCATCATTCCCACCTAAAAGTGAACACAAGTTAAAGGCCTGTCAAGTATACCTAGATGAAATGTACCATGGTAAGTACTAGGATTTGAACTCAGTACCTCATGCTTGCTAAGGCAGACCTTCTACCATTTGATCCACACCTTCAGTCCTTTTTGCTTTAGTTATTTTTTCAGATAGGGTCTTATATTTTTGCCACAGCTGTCCTGGATCACTCTCCTTTTAACTTCCCATATGACTAGAACGACAGGTTGTGAACCACCACACCCAACTAATTTGTTGAGATGGGGTCTCCCTAATATTTTGCTCAGGCTGGTCTCAAACAGTGATTTGTCTTTATGTACACCTTCCAAGTAGTATTACAGGCTGTAAGCCACTGTGCTGGACTACATTTTTCTTTCCTTTTGGTGGTACTGAAGGGTTTGAACTCTGAACCACACCTCCAGTTCTTTTTAGCACTTGTTATTTCTGAGATAGGGTCTTGGATTTCTGCCCAGTTCCCCATCAGGACCTCAATCTGCCTACATTAGGCATCTGTCTTAATTGGAACTCCATGGTTCTTACACTGCAATGGGAGTTCATGGACTTTTCTGCTCTAGTTGGTCAGGAACTATGATCTTCCACATAGATAGGATGATAGGTGCATACTACTATACCTAGTTGCTTGTTGAAGTGGTTCTAACTTTTGATAGAGCGAGTCTCAAAACACAAGTGTCATGATCTTTGCCTTGTGAATAGCTGTGATTACAGGCAATGAGCACTGTCTTTGCTTAACACTCAGAGTGTCCTGTAAGTATCATTTGCACTAAATGGAACTAGGGGTCCTTAGAAACCCATCTGGTCCTAAACCTAGGATAAGAATGATTCAAGAAGAGCCTAGGTATATTTGTGCCATGAAATCAAGGAAGAGCTATTAAAGATCACTGAGTTTATTCAAAAGGACACTCAGATCAAAAACATTCGTACTCTGATCACCAAAAAGAATGACTCGAGACATCAACTGCTACGGCAAATGAATATATCAATCATAGTAAGCAAACCAAAGTTTTCTCAGTCAACTTTATAAGCATCAGAAAACCAATGCATGATCCTGAAAACTGGTAAGTCCTTACCACCACCATTAAAAATAAACCAAACACATATTCTGCCTTTCTGGTTAAAAGCTGCATCATGAATAGTAATCCGAGCTGATGCGAAAATAAAATCCCACAGAGGAAACTCTTAACATTATAAATTCAAGAGATGAGAAAGTTAGAAAATCACTATCACGCAGCCTGTAATGATGAGTTTTGGTAGTGACACTAATGGCTGCTGGAAATAGGAAGTGAATGATTAATGGAGGATTTTGTCATTAAGGAAGCAGGCTGATAGCACTAATCCACCCAACACTACATGCCTGTCAATATGAAGCCAGAGGAGGCAAAATGCTGCCCAAGTCCAATTACTCTCCATCCCTAATTGTCACTTTACTGTACAAACAGGTACAAAGAAAGGCATTAGCCAACACCACAAGGAAGTGACCAAATTAAGAATGCAAGACATTTAGAGGTCATAGTTTGGGCACAAATTAGTGACTTGGAAGGATTAGGGGAAAGGGAAAGAGGTGTTACGTACAGAGTATTTATATTCCTCTCAAATTCATTTGTTAAAGCCCTAATCCTCAATGAAGCTACATTAGGAGATAGTGCTGCTAAAGTAGGGTTAACTGATGTCAGAAGGTTAGGGCCCTAAACCCAACAGGATTAGTGTCTTTAGAAAGTTCCTTGCTTGCGGCTGCTTCCCTCGTCCACTGTATGTGGGACCCAGTGCAAAGACAGCTGCATAGGGCCCTCAGGAGAACCCGTCCAAGCCAGGATCTTGATCTTGACTTTCCAACCACCGGTAATATAAGAAACAAGTCTCTACAGTTTAAGCCACTCAGTCCATGGTATTATTATGATAGTCTGAGTTGACTGGGACAGAGAGGAATTATAGGTAAGAGAGTCTTCAGAGACACACCGCCCAAAGTAAAGTTTTTATATGAGCTTGTTTGCATGCAAATTCAAAAAAATTAAGAAAAGTTGAACAATTACAGCATAGGCACTGATATTAAGGAATAACTTAGTTTTAGTAAGTAGTGTTGATAATAGACAGTAATGTCTTTAAAAGGGGGAGACTGCAGGCAAGAATTCATTATATATACCACAGACTTGAGAAATATAATGAAGGGGTGTGGGTCAAAGGAGATGGGGTAAGGATGTCAAAGTAGTGACATAGATCAAAATGCACTGTGCCCATGAACTGCTTTGTTATACTGCAAAAAAAAAATCAATATATAACCTAAAATTAAGATAAGTAAGGGATGCGGTACTTAAGACAATGACTCACCTGAATGTTCTCTCTCACATACACAGCATAATCATCGTTACTCAAGAAATCAGCTCGCTTTTTGTAAGTCTGACTCTCTGTCACAACAACACCAGTAGCCTAGAAGAGATAAATACATTAAAAAAATAAGCTTTCTATTAAAAAAAAGAAGTATGAAATCTACAACATGAAGAATTAAAGTATGAAAGACATTTTCCTTATAATAAATTCTCATGTACAAAAGTCTTTTTAGCCGGGCACCAGTGGCTCAACGCCTGTAATCCTAGCTATTCAAAAGGCTGAGACCTAAGGATTGCAGTTCAAAGCCAGCCTGGGCAGGAAAGGCCATGAGACTACTATCTCCAATAAACCATCAGAAAACTGGAAGTGGCACTGCAGCTCAAATGGTAGAGCGCTCCCCTTGAGCTGAAGAGCTGAGGGACAGAGCCAAGGCCCAGAGTTCAAGCCCCACAACTGACAAAAACAAAACAAAACAAAAAAAAACTTTTAAAATACAGTAATGTAGGAATGTACTTTGAAAGCTGTCAGCACAGAAAATTTCCCAGTCTTTGAGAAATCAATATGTAGACAAAACATGATTTTTCTGTTTATTCTGACTTTTTTGAGATGGAGTCTCCTTGTGCTGCCTGGACTGGCCTCAAACTCACTATCCTCTGGTCTTAGCCTCCTGAATGATGAAATTATGAGCATGCCCAGCACACTTGAGCTTTTCTCATGTCTTGGTTTTCTGTTGTTGTTTTCAATCTGGTGTGTGTGTGTGCACGCGTGCATGTGCGTGCACATGCATGCTAGTGCCAGGGCTTGAACGCAGGACCTCATGCTCTCAATAGCTTTTTCCGATCATGGCTGGCACTCTAGCACTTGAGCCATGCCATCAGTCCGGCATTTTTATTACTCACTTAGAGATAAGTGTCTCAAGGACTTTTCTGCCCAGGCTGAATTCAAACCTTGATTCTCCAGTTCTGTCTCCTGACAGTAGTTAGGAGTACAGGTGTGAGCCACTGGTGCCCAGTAGTTTTTGGTGGTAATGAGATCTAATGAGGGCTTCTACTTAATCCACCCTCTTGGTCTTTTGGGCTTTGGTCTTGTACTTTGGCCCCTACTGGACCCAAATGTCAATTTTCCTACCTTTACCTCCCAAGTAGCTGGGATTACAGACATACACCATCATACCCAGCCTATCAGTTTCTTACTTTTTCCCACACCTAAGGAAACAGGGCCTTACTATGTTGCTCAGACTGACCTTGAAATCCCAGGTTTAAGCAATCCTCCTGTTTGAGCCTCCACATCTGCTAAGACTGTAAGTACAGCAACTGTCCCTAGCTTTAAACATGATTTTGGATAAAATTTCTCCATATGGCTAGTCAACATTATGTTTGTAAATAGGATGTTTGTACAAGGCTCTATCTTAAAACTAAAAGTAATTATGATGGAGAAACCCCAGCATTACTCCAATAGCAAAGCAGGAAGCTTTATTCTGTGCCTAGCAGAACCACAGATAAAGCTGAGGTCCATAGGAGGTATGACTGATTCTTCCAAGGCACAGAGAAATCAGACAATTAAGGAACTAGAAGTAAGCAAGGCACTGGTGGCTCACACCTATAATCTTAACTACGCAAGAGTTTGAGATCTGAGGATTATGGTTTGAAGCCAGCCCAGGCAGGAAAGTCCAGGAGACTCTTATCCCCAATAAACTACCTGAAAAAGTCGGAAGTGGAGCTATGCTCAAGTGATATAATGCTAACCTTGAGCAAAAAGAAGCTCAGGACAGCTCTTAAGTAGAGTTCAAGCACCAGAGCCAGCCAAAAAAAGAAGAAAGAAAAAGAAAGAAAGCAACTAGAAGACAAGCAGGACACACACATGGTAAGCCACTAACCACAGGGTAAGCTGCATCGTCCATGTCTTCTACCACCTCCTCATCTGAATATTCATCAGACACTGTTTCAGCATCTGAGAGCTCTGTAACCTGGACATCAGAGTGGTCCAACAGCCAGCCAACCAAGGCCTCCACACCTAGGAGCAAACACATAGAGGCCATTGCTAACACCAATAGCATGGACATGTGAACCCTAAGTAAACAGACACCAGCAAGGAAAAATGACATACCAGGCACACCAGATGCATTCCCAGAAGCACCAGTGAGGGACTTCAGAGCAAACTCTATGTTCCTTCTAGGAAATCCCATCTCCATGAGCTGCACCACAATAGGCAGAGCAGGAACTGGAGACTGTTTGCGCTTCTTCACCCGGGCCGGGCGAATGTGCTGCACGGACACTGGTGTTGTGGCCTCGCTGGAACTACAGTCTTCAAAGCCGGGACTTGAAGGGTGAGTGGACTCTACAGCCAAGCACTGACACACAGCCAGAGCAGCAGCCTGCACACATGAGAGAGTTTGGGGAAAAGTTTGTGAATTTTTACCATCTAAGGAAATGAAAACAACCAACTACATGATACAATGCCCAGGTTCCCATGTATATCTTAACATGAATCAATAAAGCATGTTAAAGAAAAAAAAAAGGCAAAAACCCCGAGCCAGTGGTTTATACCTGTAATCCTAGTTACTTAGGAGATTGAAATTTCAGGATCATGTTTGGATCTAGCTGGGTCAAGAAAGTCTGTGAGACTCTTACCTCCAATTAACCACCAAAAAGCCAGAAGTGGAGCTTTGCTTTAAGTGGGAGAGTGCTAGTCTTGAGCAAAAGAGATCAGGGACAGCACCCAGATCCTGAGTTCAAGCCTTAGGACTGGCACATAAAATTTATTTTACAGATAACCAAATGTGCTGGCATATGTCTATAATTCCAGCACTCAGGAGACTATGATACCAAGTTCAAGGTGACTCTGGGGTACAAAGACAGCAAGACCCTGTCTCAAAAGAAAAAAAAATCACCAAGATTATACAACGGTACCTCAAGTTCCTGTTTGTCAAATATGGCCTTCACTGGAGATGGCTGGGTAGCAGAAGCCAGCAACTGCTGGAGTAGAATCATTGGGGGCTGTGGCCCTTCAGGAGACATGTCTCCAAGGTCAGGGGATGCGGCTGCTCCGTCATCTGAGTTTAAGAAAACAACATACATGTTCCACTTTCAATGGCAATGGTATTTTCATGGGATAGACAATCAAAATCTTCAAAGCTCTGATAATCAAGCAGTAATTAGACTCTACAAAATGATCTTCCCCCTTCTTTTTGGTCTCCGTTCTTTAATTATTCTCTGTCTCTTAGAGACAAAAAAAGATATTTTTCCAACGTCTGCCCTTGGTCCAGTTTTCCAACCTTTTTAAGTTTGTTCTGATTGTCACAGAAACTCCTGCTAACTAACATTAATATTTGTAACCCTGACTTCTGATAATCCTCATTCACATCACTAGGTGGCACCAATTCTAAATGTGCCACATGGTCAAACCAATGCCTTTTTGTGGCTAAGTAAAGTCTTTAAGAGCCCACTGATATCCAATGACCAGAGGCTCACTTCACATAACTCACTATATATATAAAACAAGTGCTGGTTTTGATTGGCTACAACTTGAACCAGAGGTTGGGAACCTTTCTTTTAAAGGGCCAGAAAGTAATTGGTTCAGGGTTATGGGCCATGTGGTTTGGATCACAACTGTTCAACTCTCACTGTACAGCCAATGGCAAAGTGAGAACAAATGACTGGGCCTGTGTTCTCCTAAAACCTTACTTACACAGCACGCTGGAGGCAGAAGTAGGAGAAATCCAAGTTCAAGACTAGCCCAAGCTTACACAGAGATCTCATCTCATGAAGAAAGCAAAAAAGGAAAAACTGAAAACAGCTAGAGGTGTGACTCAAAGATGGAGTATGTACCTGGCAAGCATGAGCTGCGTGCAAAACCCAGGATCACAGTGATAATAATGTTAAAAATTATTTACCAAATGAACAAATAAACAGGTGCTGCAGTCATTTGCTAATTCCTGCTCTACAAAAGTGTTCCAACTACAGCCAACATTCAAGACAAAGCATGGACCATAACCCTGATTCAATGCTTTCACTATCGTTCCTGGGCACCCACCGAACAGCTAGGTTGGCTGTCCCAAGAACCCAGTTTCCAAATTTGCATACTGAAGAATTACCTTCACCGTGCCTAACATCCCTGCTACTCAGTGATTTGACACTTTTGATCCATCTCTCTCATACTTAGCAGATTTGAAAGTAATTTCACAATACCCTCTGCTTTCTGCAAACACTGCTTTCTGCTGGATTTCCTAATTTTGTTTCTGTCAAACTCCAAATTTTTTTTTTTTTGTTCTCATAACTTGAGCTTACAAAAGCAGTATCTTTGGCCTTCATTGGCTTCTCAAATTAAGTTATCATCTAGAAGACGGTACCATCAGTGTCTACTGGTATTTTCTCTATTCCTTGCTGTTCTCTAATCACTTGACACAAAAGCAAGTCTCCTTTTCCCTAGGTACCAGTTCAAATACACCTGTACCTGGCTAGTAGATTAGCTACCTGGACTACACACCCTGGTTCTGACTGTCATCTCCTGCCACAGCCTCAAGCTTTACCCCGGGACTACCAGCACTTGAATAGGACTTCAGTTGACTTCACCACTCATCCATAAATCATGAACTTCAAGCGAACAGAGTTCCTCAATCCTCCCCCCTGGCCACCACCAGCAAAAAAGAGTCTTATCTTTGGGCACCTGCATGGACATGCTTCCTTGTTTTTCCACTGAATTACCTACCTTCCTTATACATCTAGAAGACATTTCATTAAAAAAAAAAAAAAGATACCTGCATGAACTGTTCCAGTCTCTTGAACAGCTGGCTGAGACAAGATCTGCCTCAGTTTATCTTGGTGGGAAAGCAAGGCCCGCCCTGCTTTTAGTATGTACAGCTTTAACTGCTGGCTCCGCAGCAGATCCAAGTCTACTTGTCCTATGGAACAACAACATTAAAAAACAACACAGTAGGAAACAAACACTCTGCTCAGTTTCTCCTCACCAGCCATGCCACCTCTGCAACAGGAAGACAATGCCCTGCCCTTTGGGAACAGATGGATCCTACACAAATACTGTCAATAATGAAGGTCTTGGGTAAAATTCTCAAATCCCCTGGGTCTACCTCTTTCCCTGCTTTCTAAGCACCTACCCTCAATGGGCTGGCGTAGAGATTAGCATCACATTAGCTATTAATGGCATCAACAAGTTTTCCAACCTGTTGACATCTCAACAGGATGACTGAGTCACAAATAGAAGATTTTGTTTTCTTACAAAATCCTTTGAGGAAATTTTTTCCAGATGTAGTTGGTACTTTAATGGGTGAAGATCATGGCCATTTCCCTAGGTCTTCTGTAATCCAGTGGGGCATAGTCATGCCACAGGAAAGCCAATCCCACACTAAGCCACCATGATAATGTGGGTGGATTCAGGCATGGCAGCCATATTCCCAAGCAGAGTGTGGTGTAGGCCTGAGAGGCAGCACAGGGACCATGGAACAAGAGAATGAGAACAGAGGTTCATGAACACTAAGCTTGACCAGCTGGCAGACAGGTCTGTCTGTTCACCATGAGGAGAAACGGTCAATACAAAGAGAAGGTGGGCTGAATTTTGGATAGTCCGTGATTCATATGTATGGGCCCTCCACTCACAAATGTGAACTGGAGACTCAAGAGTTGAAGGCAGTGCCCAAATTACATGTTGTGGCAAAGAAATAGAGGGGAAAAAAGCTCCAGGAGCAAGTAAAAGGAATTAGAAGTTATGAGTGAGACCAAAAGGATTTCAAGGGTATAAAAAATAATCAAGAAAGCAAACCAATTTTCTTTTTGGGACTCAATGAAAGGGTTTTATACAATACTAGTTGCAATCTTAGCCTGGAATGAACAAAGACAAAGCGAAATAAATCCAAATACAAAGATAACACAAAGAGGCTAGGAGTAGAATCCCCAAAGGCAAATAGGCCACAGGGCCAGATGCTGGAGGGCTAATAGAAAGGAAAAGAACATAAACTCTTCTCTAAAAGCTAGCTCAGAATAGACACTGCCATTGAGAAGAAGATGAGCAATAGGACTCTGGATATGCTTGCAAACCTGAGGTCAAAGGCTAACTCAAAAATGCTTCATCAGCACACACAAAAGTACATTCTAATGGTAGTTAAACAAAATGGTAAGTCCATGTGAATCCCTAAATGTCCACAGTCATATACACTCACTCTCACAGAAGGACAAACACATCCCCCCAAAATGCTAGTTCACCAAGATGCATATCATACTGACCTGCAAAGGCCTGTTTAGGTGATTTCTTTATTTTGTGCTTTTCCAATTTGCTACCAGCAAGGTTCACCAAATGAGCCCAGACAGAGAGCATGGGCTCTGTGAAAGGCAGGTTGGTCATACTAAAGGGCACAGCTGGGAGCTAAAGAAAAGGCATAGAAGCTTTCAATAGTAGCCGGTGAGATTAACACATGAAATAGTCTGAAAGTTATTACAATCATCAGTGTTAATGGTAAGACACCTCCCATGTACCCAAGTCAATTCACCCCTCACAATAATTTTGAAAAATGACGTTAAAAGCTGGGCGCTGGTGGCTCACGCCTTTAATCCTAGCTACTCAAGGAGGCTGAGATCTGAAGATCGAGGTTCAAAGCCAGCCCCGGCAGGAAAGTCCTAAACTCTTATCTCCAATAAACCACTCAGAAAATTGGAACTGGAGCTGTGGCTCAAGTGGTAGAACACTGACCTTGAGCTGAAGAGCTGAGGGAAAGCACCCACGCCCAGAGTTCAAGCCCCAGGACTGACAACAAACAAGTTCAAGTGCTAATATAAGATAAAAAGGAAGGGGGGGGGAAGGACTTGTATGTACAGCAGACATAATGAGGGTGGCTAATTATTATCTTTTTAGTCATTTTCTATGTATCTCAAATATTCTGTGTATATTCCTCTAATAATAAAAAAAAGTGGTTTGCAAAAAAATATAGGCAATGCAGTACTTAATTTACAGAAATAATATAAGCTGGGCACTGGTGGCTCACACTTGTAATCCTAGCTACTCAGGAGACTGAGATCTGAGGATCATAGTTCAAAACCAGCCCAGGCAGGAAAGTCTGTGAGACTCTTGTCTTCAATTAACCACCCCAAAACCAGAAGTGGTGCGGTAACTCAAGTGGTAGAGTGTTAGCTTTGAGCAAAAGAGATCAGGGACAGCAGTCAGCCCACAAGTTCAAGGCCCATAGCTGACAAAAAAGAAAAATAAATAAATCACTCATCTTTCCTATCACCCCTAATTCATACATTTATAATGACAGTAGCAGCTAACACTTGTCATTCAACAAAATTGGCGAGTATTTTCTTTAAATGTATTTTTTTGTCTTTTCTTTTTTGGTCCTGGGGATCAAACCCACGACGTTGCACTTGCTAGGCAAGCGCTCTGCCACTGAGCTACATCCCAGCCCTAATTAGCAAGTATTTTCTACATGAAGAAAGATTATTTCTCAAATATTCATTCTTAAGCTTCTTAGAACTTATTTAATTTTTTAAAAAAGTTTTATAAATTTATCCTGTGGCATTACTAGGGTTTAAACTTAGGGCTTTGTGCTTACTAGGCAAATGCTCTACCAGGTTAGCCATACCTTCAGCCTTTAAATTCTTATCTTAAAATAATTAACCTATCTTATAGGTTGCTAATGCCCTTTTATGTCTTTGAGGAGAAAACAATATATGAACTATATTCCCTGTATATCCAAGAGATAGCCCTGCTCATATCAAGAGCACAAGCTAATGGGGGAAAAAAAAGGAAGTGGTTGGCCCCGGCACATGGCTTCCTGGAAGGCAAATGTAAATGACATCTTTCCAAGTTCTGTTAGAAGCCAGTTCTAGAGGAACTCTGTAACACAGTATAAGTTCACCTACTGGTTTCAGCTGATTCAACGGGCAAATGCGGCAAGTGCGCATGTCAGAGAATTGCACGGTGATTCTGCCCTTCGGGGTGATGCGAGTCACAGTGCCCTCTCCAAACTCATCATGCATGACTTGGCCCCCTAGGCGCAGGCGACCATCGATTCCTCCGATCACAGCCAGGACGGCCATGAGGCCCCCCACTTCCGGGTTCTCGCAGTCAGGGAAATAGTCTTCCAGCAGGGCCTGGTGCAGAGAGCAGACAGCAAGTGTGACAAGGAGAGATCACAAGCTTAAGAGTTAACCTGAATTTTATTCATGGGTGTATGTATTAATTTTTTTCTTCTTTTCATGTAGGGGCAGGGTTTCACTATGTACTGTCCAGCCTAGACCAGACTCCCAAGCTTAAACTTTCACCACGGCCTCCCAAGACGCTGGGTCTGCAGGTATGGAACAGCCTACCTGGCTTCACAATTCTATTTTTTTGGAGGGACAGGTACTGGGGCTTAAACTCAAGGATTTGAGCTCACTTGGTTTTCTTGCTCATGGCTGGTGTTCTACCACTTAAGTCACATCTCCAGTCAGGCACTTTGCCAGCTAATTGGAAATGGAGTTCCACAAACTTTTCTACCTAGGCTGGCTTCATACCACAATCCTCCAGGTCTCTGTCTCCCGAGTAGCTAGGATCATAGCTATGAATCACCAGGGCTCAGCTGAATTTTTTTATATTCAGTTCTTCAATAATTCCATTGAAATATCCTCAAATATTTACCAAACTAAACATGCATCTTGTTTAGGAAGGTTAATTGACAAGCTAATGTTCCACAAAGAAATGGCCAACTTCCATGAGGATGTGGGGACCCACCCTTTCCAGTGGCTTTTCAGCACAAGTGTGGGTGACAGAGTGGAGCTGGGAGTTGATGTATTTGTTGATGAGTCCATTCCACTGGGGCAGGGAGTGCAGGGTGCGGAGGAGTGCCACCACCTCTTCAGCCAGCGTGCTGCTGTGAGTGGCAGTCAGAGAGGCCTGTGGGCGGGCCCTGCGCCGGCGCAGTGTGGACTCTGAGGAGGAAGCAGAGACGAGAGCTGCATTTTGATCGACTCCTCGGACAGACATCACAGTGATGTCCGGGGAGAGCCACCCACCTCTGAGTAACGGGACATCAGAAGAACAGGTAGTGAGTAAACTTCCCAAGAAGCCGAACAGCTTTTCCACGAGGCACTTCATGTCCCTCGCCCTTTCTGTCTTGTCCCACGAAGGAAGAACTGCTTGCAGTAAATGCACGGCTAAGATCTGATCGAATAATTGAAAATTGCAAGCTTTTACAGAAAGTCATTCGCTGAGAGATGAAATGTTTTAGATTTTTTCATTCTGTCTTTCTTTTGGTCCCTATAATGCAATTAAGTCATTTGAAACTCTGATGTTGGCTATCATGTTGAATAATTGTCAAGAGTTAAAAATGAGCTACAATGCCGGGTACCAGGGGCTCACAGCTGTACTAGCTACTCAGGAGGTTGAGATCTGCGGATCATGGTTCAAAGACAGCCCGGGCAGGAAAGTCCATGAGACTCTTACTCCAACTAAGCACAAAAATAAATAAAAACATAAAAAAATTCCGGAAGTGGAGCTGTGGCTCAAGCGGTAAAGCATTAGCTTTAAAGCTCAGCAACAGTGATCAGGCCCTGAGTTCAAGCCCCAGGATGAGCACAAAAGTAAATAAATAATTTTTTAAATTGATTTAAGCAAAGAATTTAAGCAAAGAATTCTTGCTCTACCACTAAGCCACACCTCTAGTCCCGTTTTGCACTGTTTTTTCTTTAAAATAAATAAAATAAAATCTTGCTTTGGCTTCTCATCATTGCTGGGATGATAAGCATGACCCACCGTGTCCAGCTTCCCTCTGTTGAGATGGAGTTTTCCCTCTGTTGAGATGGACTTTTCTGCCTGGGCTGGCCTTGAACTGTGATCCTCCCACTTTCAGCCTCCTAGCAGCTAGAATTACAGATATGAGTAACTGGCACCTGACTTACAGTACCACATTGATGAGGCAGATGAGAACAGCTGCAGAACTTAATCACTTAACAGAAAGGCAAGTATAACAGATTGAGCAACTCAGACAATTGCAAATAATTAAAAGACCCTCCACCACATGTCTCCAGAAAAAAAAAAAGATGTACTTGGGAAATTACTTCTGGCTGTTTTCTACAATCACTGTTGAATAAAGGCACCTTATTTCAAGGTTTGGGAGCAGTGGTATGTGGGTGCCAATTAGCAAACTAGGTTCTGCCCGGCAGCACATTACCTGCCTCTGCAGTGAGGCGGCTGTGAAGGGGGCATGACCTTCCACAACCTTCATGAGCAGGGCGATCCACCGGGGGGAGCTGAGGGCACCGCAGGCTTGCGGCGTGAGGGCAATGCTCCGCACAAAGCCCAGTGTGCACCAGCTCCGGTGCTGCTCTCGGCGAACCAGCCTGTCTGGAGAAGCTGTGGGAGAGGAGAAAGCAAGCTGGTATCAAATCTCTAGGGATGAAATTGGGAGTCCCACCCTTACATGGAATTCGGGTGTTTTGTATTTTCATGGTAGCAGGATTTGAACTCAAGGCCTCCTACTTCTATCTTTTGAGCCAAACCCCTGGCCTGCTGATGCTTTAGCTATTTTTTCATTTGGGGTTTCACTGTGTGTGTGTGTGTGTGTTACTGGAGTTGGAACTCAGCGTCTGATACTTACTAAGCAGGCATTCTTCTGCTCAAGCCATACTTCCTACAGAAGGGACCAGCCTTGGACCCACATAAAGACCAGGCACATTCTACTATACCCAGCTTAACAGCTGGGATGAAGTGTTGCTAACTTTTGCCCAGGCTGGCCTTGAATCTCTTTTATTTTTCGGTCTTGGGGCTTGAACTCTGGGCTTGGGTGCTGTCCCTGTGCTCTTCAGCTCAAGGCAAGTGCACTACTGCTTGAGCCACAGCACCACTTCTGGTTTTCTAGTAGTTTATTGGAGCTAAGAGTCTCACGGACTTTCCTGCCCAGGTTGGCAGGAGAGATCCTCAGATCTCAGCCTTCTGAGTAGCTAGGATTACAGGCATGAGCCATCAGCACCCGGCTTGGCCTTGAATCTTAATATTCATCATTTCTGCCTCCTCAGCAGCTGCAAGTACAGATGGAAGTCAGTGCACCAAAATTAACTCTCCTATTTCATTTTCAGTAATAAGCTACTTTGCACATGGACTACAATAGCACATTCAATGAGAGGAATGGAAAAAGGCTTTTAAGTGAGCCCAAGGAACATTTCACAGCATTATTTAAATCTTTAAAGTACCATGCAGGAAATCAGATTAGCTAGTAAATTTTACAAATAGGAAAATAACCTGTCATTCTAATAGCAGTATGTTTCAATACGTAATGTGTTTGAGCAAAATCTCATGTGTTTTAATGTCTCCATGATCTCATTTGTTTAATCTGCATTATAAAGTTCCAATCTAAATTTTAAAAATCTACCCCAACACAATGATAATGTGTCTTTCTTAACGTTTTTCTGAAGAGTCTTACCATCTAGTAGAGGCTGGCTTGGAACTCACTATGTAGCCCAAGTCGACCTCGAACTCCTGATCCTCCTCCCTCTACCTCCTGAGTGTGGGGACTCCAGGCATATGTCACCATGCCTGGTTGAGAATCAGGTTCTCGTGAGATTTACACAACTCAGTGCTGGCCTGAGTGGGAGGACATCTGTTGCTCTTGGTTTCCTCAGACATGAGCGGTCTCCCCTTTCCCACTCTCTCCCAAGCTGAGGTGTGCAGCCTGGAGTGTGCCTTACTTTGGCCCTCCTTCTCCTGTAGCAGCAGCTTACCTGTCCTACTGCCCAATCTGCCTTCCAGCCCTCCAGGCTTGCAGGACCCACCCTCCATACACGCAAACACAAACCCACACACCTCCCTGATTTCTCAGGCACACTCACCCACACTCTTTTACACTTGTTACTCATGATCATCTGCTTACACTCAGATTCAGACTCATACTTACACAGTCACACTGACATACCCAGAGACACACCTTCATGCTTCCAGTACAAACTCTCACACGTACCCACCAATCTAACACATTTTCCCACGCTCACATCAACACATACTGACATTCCAGCACACATTACATGAATTAATCCAAACACACTATCACACCATCATATGCTCTGAAATACTTCAACAAATTCCCCCCCACCCCACATAATGCACACACAAGTCAAGTACTCACACACTCACATACACCTTCAAGACGTATCATATACCTACCCCACTGCTTCAACTCCTATTTCCCATACTTACATCCATATATAAGATAGTAGACATTCACTTCAGAACCTGAGTATGATTTTACTTATTTGGAAATAAGATCTCTGTAGATGCTATTAAGGATAGAGACAAGATAATGCTGGATTAAGGTGAGCCAAAACCCAACATGAGACACAGAGGAGGAGATCATGTGGGATCAGAGGCAAAGACTCTGGAGTGACATAGCCACAAGCCAAGAAAACTGTGAGCCACCAGAAGCTGGACAAAGAGACAAAGGATCCTCCTCCAGATCCGCTGAGAGGAACACAGTTCTGGCTTTTGAGTTGAGATTTTTGCTCTCTAGAACTATGAGAAAATACACCCATTGTTTGCAGGCAATGTAATAAGGTGGAATAGTGTCCCTTAGTGCTTTCTGTGTTGAAGCCCTAACCCCTAGAACCTCAGAAAGTGACCTTGTTCTGAATAGGATAAAAGCAGATGTACTTAGCTCCGGTACGGTTTACCCGTATCCTTACAAAAACCAAATTTACAAACAAGACATGCTCACTGGGAGATACCGTGTGAACATGAAGGAGAGATGAGGAGGACACATCCACAGCTAAGGAATGTTGGGAGATCACCTGCAAACCACCAAATGCTAAGGAAGAAGCCAGGAACAGACTGTCCCTCACGGGGTCCAGGAGAAACCAGTCTGGCCGATCATTTCTGTTGTTTATTTTCCACTCAGTTGAGGTGCTGTTATGGGAGCCACAAAAACTTAGTATACGTATAGTCACACCTACTGAAACATGTATCATACTTGCCCACAAACACACACACACACACACACACACACACACAGAGATTAGATAGATGTTCTAGGAACACAATTACTCATGTCATACATGTCTTGTCTGTTGTTCCGCTTTCCACTAACATCCTCAGCAGTCCACACAGTGTCCTGGTGGCCTCACTCTGCATGACTTCTGCGTGAACTCCAACGGAGAGGCACAAGGTTTGCAGTAAGTTAATAGTGCTGGTCATCATCATGGCTGTGGGGTGGATGTTCCTTTCAATTTGTTCAGCTTCTGGAAAAAAGATGATCACAATAAGCACAATAAGAGACCATACTTGGAAATAAAACTAAAAAATGATCCTGTATATGATTTAAGAAATTTAGTATCTATTCTTTTTGTGTGTGTGTGCTGGGCCTGGGTACTGTCCCTGAGCTTTTGTACTCAAGGCTAGCACTCTACCACTTGAGCGACAGCTATATTTTGTTTTTTTTTTTTTAATTGGAGATAAGAGTCATGGAACTTTCCTGCCCAAGCTGGCTTTGAACCATGATTCTCAGATCTCAGTCTCCTGAGTAGCTAGGATTACGGCCATAAGCCACTAGTGTCCAGCTTCTGTTCAAAGTTTTTTTTTTTAAGCAGTTTCGGCTTCACAGAAAAATTTAGGAAAAGTACAGTGATTCCATACTCTTCTTCATTTTAGAAAGGGAAACCATATTAATATGAAAAAAAATGTAACTGAGGATACACTATTTACCCTAATTATTTCTTTCATACTTCATTTGTTGTTTTTTAAAGATGGGCTCTTGTTATGTTGCTCGGGCTAGCCCAACTCCTGAGCTAGGGTGACCCCTCTGCCTCAGCTTGCTGAGGAGCTGATAGTACATGCACACACTACTGCACCTGTGTCCTGATCAGTTCTATTCCCACCTTCCTCAACAAACATGAGACTTTTGCATACCATTAAAAAAAAAAACCCTAGTAGATAACTCTTACAATGAAATGATTTTAAAATTCTGCTATTTTAGAAAGACAATTTATCAAATATTAACCCAGCTCTTGGGATAAGGACAAAGCTCCTGCATCCATGAAGCAGGAAGCCTAGCCACTTAGAATGTCCAGCCTAATGAGCTACAGATCACCCTACTGTTACCTGATCACCCCTGTCCTGGCTCCCGCTGCTCAATGAGGAAAGCTCCCAACCAGAGAGCCAGACCTGCTGTCCCTGGTTCATGGTGAGTGGGCAGAGGAAGGGGCCACATCTGATCTGAAGTCGAATGGGGCATCTTCGCTGACAGGACAGCCAGCACCCACCACTGAAAACCATGTGCATCATTGCTAACAGTCCCTTACAACCACTACTGGAGTGAGCGCGTATGTTCCAAATCCACTCTGGGCTGTGTGGGACAGCCTCCCGCTCCCTCTCTACCACCTGCTCTCTCCTGAGCAAACTCTTACAGGACATGTGGTCACTGTAACGGCACTCCCCCCCTTTTTTTTTTTAAATTTTAAATTGTTACTATAAAGGATATGGACAGAGGGGTGATAGTCACAGAAGTCAGGTGATGAGCACGCTTCTTTTTGGACAATGTCTCCCTTCTTTCTCTCCTAGTTTTCCCCTCCCATCCCCACTTCCAAGTTGTATAGTTCATTTTCCAACTTGGTGTCTAGTGAGTACCACTGCTGTATTCATCTTTGGTCCCTCCATTTCTGTGCTCCCTTTTACTCTTCACAAAGACAGATAAATGAACAAACAAGAAAAACAAACCCCAAAACAATGACAAAAACCTCATTTCCATTTGCTGGAGTTCATTAAGATAAATAGAAACATTATGCACACAGGCATTGTACCTTTGACTTCCTCCCCTAATACAGCACTTTCTCATGCCTGATAGTATTGCACCTAAGAGCTGCCACTGAGCCCCAGGAGGGAGTTTTGGCTGCTCGGACAATCTTACCAAAGTGAGTCAATCATGTGATGCTTGATTCAAATGTCCCAGGGTTTTTGGTATAAATCTAAAAAATACCTTCCTGCAATCTTAAGCTTTCCATGGATAGGATCAAACTTTCTGGGTCTACTTCCAAACTCTGCTTTCCTGGAGGTAATGAAAGTACTAACTCTACATTAGTTGACACATTTGGAGTCCAGGACTAGGGAGGAGAGGTTAAGGAAGGACACATGTCAGTGCATGCTGTGCAGAGCCTGAGGCTGGTGGAGAAGGGGGAGGAGCCTCGTGCACCGCAGGGCAATGCAGAACCAATCACACCAGGACTCATTCTCTTACTCGGGCTCAGTGCCTGCCACATGGACCCACTAGAATGTAGACTGCATCTTGTATTTGTATTTCCATCCCACTCTCAAAGGGGGAGCAGGAATGGTTGAGGAGTAAATGCACCAAGTCAGTAATGGCAGGGCAGCTGGTTCCCAGAGCCACTTTGGGTACCTGCGTCAGAAGCCCTTGGGGCCCAGATCAAATCAAATTTCAGAGCAATAGTGCTAAATGAACCCCAAACCCACTGTTTTAACTTCGTAAAGGGAAATGACAGCTAGCCAGCACCTGAGCAAGCAGGTCACCCACCGGAATCATCCTCTGTGTCGGAGTCCTCTGCAGAGGGCTGTGCAGAGGACGGCAGCTCTGCCAGCTTGAGGTCGTACTTCCCTTCTTTCCCCATCCTGTACGAATTGGTGCTGCCTGTGTCCCACTGGACTCTGATCCACCCGTCCTCTCCCAGCTCACCAATCACATGGCCTAAGCCTGGGGGAGGCCCATCCTGCAAAAGCCAAAAAACCCCCCAAAGATTAATTAAAAGGATGCATGCCCTGCCCTGAGCCCTCTATGGTTCCCTCCACTGAGACTTGTATACAGATGTTGCTCTTGGCAACCATTTCTGTAAAGAAGGCTGTGTCACTTATACAGACTCCAGGGCAAAAGACTGGTTTCATACCCACCTGCAAAATGTACAACTCCTAGTATTATAAATATAAATAAATATCATGAAATAACATGCTCATTACCAAAGACTAAGGGGTAGGGGTGAGTATCTTCAACACTGTAAGTAAATAGAGAAACAGTCTTTCTAGCATAGTCCTGGCTATACTTGAACCCCTCTGCTCAATTCTTTGTGGAGCTTTGTAAGAGCAGAAACCGAAAATATATGCTAGTACATCTACATTTCCTCTCTTCCTCTGTCCCCCATGACCCCCCCCCCCTCCTGGCAACCCAGGTAATGCTTCATTTCCCATCTCTAAGACAGAAAGCCATTTATAGAATGCTGTACCTGTCCACACACATTGCCTTTTCTAAGATGACTGTGACAGAGCCCATGCTTAACACTGTGGCTCAGAAAGCCCTGATACAACCAGTGAGAGAGGAACATTCTGCCAACATATGATGTCAGGATAGGTGACCTATGTCTGGAGTCACGTGACAGTATTAGGGAATGACCTGCTATGAGGAGAGATGGGAAGATGATCACCCACCCAACAAGCCCACCCCAAACTGATAGTGTAGTGCACTTCACAGGCACATACATAGCCATCAGCTCCTGGGGACAGCATCTGGGCTCCCTCCCTCCCAACTTTCCACAATCAGAATCAGAATGTGATCTATCAAAGTGAGCCACATGACAATGAATTTCCTTAAAAAAAAAAAAAAAAGTAGCTCTTGTTCAACTCAATTCAATTTTTGGTGCCCCTTTACATGTGGCATTTTATTTTAACTGTTCAGGAATTTGTAGCTATATACACATCTATGTATAATTTAGAGTTAAGATGTTAACTATTCTAATTTCTCCTAGGACCATGGAAGTACAGAAAGTGACCATGTGTAGCTACTGAGCTCCATCAAATCTCTGCGTACCTGATCACCCCATTTCCAATCCACACCTCTCATGACCCTGGTTCCAATCTTCATCATGGCAGCCAGTTCTGGTCCTGAAACAGGAAGTTGTACAGGAGCTGTTTCCTTCCTTGTTTCTTCCAAAACTGTAGCAGAGGCTCCTCGGGCTGAAGCACTCATATCTTCCTCAATATTGTCACAACTAGGACCTGCCAGAGTATCAAACACAATAGCTGAGCTAGTAAGGAGTTATGATACTCTAGTTTTAATACATACATTCACATGTGTGCAGGCGTGCAGGAGTGCATGGACCTGGTGGTAAATACTTGAAATCCCAGGCATCAAAAACTCAAGGCTGGCCTGGGCTATATAACAAGACTATCAAGATAATGGATTAAAAATAAAAAGCTAGGTGCTGGTGGCTCATGCCTATAATCCCAGCTACTCAGGTGGCTGAGATCTGAGGACTGTGGTTTGAAGCCAGCCTGGGCAGGAAAGCCTGTGAAACTTTTATCTCCAATTAACTACCAAGGAGCCAGAAATGGAGCTGTGGCTCAAGAGGTAGTATGCAAGCCTTGAGCACAAAAGCTCAGGGATAATACCCAGGCCCTAAAATCAAGCCCTAGTACTGGCACAATAAACAAAGTATGTACAAAATTCAGAAAACACTAGTGAAGATGGTAAGTTTAAAGAATCCATGTTGAATTTTTAAAATCAATTAACAAAACACATACTGTGGAAAATTATTAATTAGATCTAGGACAAAAGGAAAGTGGCTTATGTCTATAGTCCTGGCTCTGTGTGAGGCAGGGACTCGGGAGGGCTTGAGGTTCAAGGCCAGACTGAGCAAAAAAAGTTAGCAAGGTACTATCTCCATCATTAAGCCGGGTATGCTGGTATACACTTGTGATGGAAGAGAAGAAGAAGGAAGACTAAGGAAAGAGAAGAAGCAGATAAGGAGAAGCTGGAGCAGGGGGCAGGGTCCATCTGGATTTGGGAGGGCTCACCCCATTTCCCTAGGAGAAAGCATGGCTCACTGTGACTGAATGGACTGTACAATGTTGAAGTCTGCTTTCCTTGGAGTCTGGAGCCTGGTTCACACCAGGAAGAGAACAGATCTAACAGCATCCCTAGTGAAAATTCCATGTGTTGATTAGGAAAAACAAGCTTCTATGATAGACAGCCCTTCATAGTTCTTGTCACAACTCATTCTGAGGGATTTAAGTGTCCTGTGCAGGCCCCCTAAGAGAGAATGCTGGAAGCTTATGCCCATCTCTAAATGATGCCCAAGAACCTTTACCCTTTGATTTTGCATTATATCCCATTCAGTGTAACAGATCGTAGCCCAAGTATGACTATAGGCAGAGTCCTATGAGATTTCCTGGCAAATCACTAAAGTTGGGGGTGATCTTAGGAAGACCAGACACAGTAGGTAATGAGAAAATTCTCTCAAACACTTCTAAACAGAACATTATATAAAAGACTGATTGACTGAATGAAGGGATGGGCAGAGCAAGATAAACATTTGTACCTGATGGCTATAGAACCCTCCATACTACAAGACATAAGATGAACTGTTTCTTGTCAGTTCCAAGAAGTCTAATTTACCAACGGGTTTGAAAACAGTAAATCTAACTTGGGGAGAACATTGCTTGCAGGATACTTTTAGCCATACAAACCAAATGTGTCTTGGCAAATCCTTTGGGTTTTTTTTTTTTTTTTTGCTTACTTTTCCCTAAAGATAGGGAAAACTTATTTTAGAGCAAAATAAGTTCCAAATAAGTGGAACTGGAGCCAAAACTGAAAAAGAAAAAAAAAGTGTGTTCTTTCAAAAGTAAAAAAAAAAGAGACAAGTCAACTTCTAGGATTACAGCAATCTCTGGGAAAACAGCCTTTTCTTAAGTGCAATTGCTGCCTTGGCCAAGGCCCCAGGATGCAGAAGCTGCAGGAATGGTGGTTGCAGTCCAGCTTGCTGTTAACCCTATGAATGCTGATTTTACTCCTGAGTGAACATGCAACCGTAAATGGGGAGTTATTTTAGATAGCTTACACTTAGTGTTTTATTGTATCTGGATATACACATAAAGTGATTACAAAATAAATACTTACAATTTCTTAAGTAATAAGTCATCCTGATATGGGAAAGTTGCAAATAGAGATACATGTTCCTTAGACAAAATCTGCTTTAAAAAAAAATGCCAGTTAAAGTTGCAGAGCTTCTGCAGGGCAAATGACATAGCTAGCAAGATCAATAGAAAGCCCACGGATTAGGAGAAGATCTTTACTAGCCATACAACGGACAAGGGTCTCATATCTAAAATATACTTGGAAC